TTGACAGCCTCAGTGTAATATTAGAAGTGTAATGTGATGCCTCATCACTAGTTGACAGCCTCAGTGTAATGCTAGAAGTGTAATGTGATGCCTCATCACTAGTTGACATTCTCAGTGTAATATTAGAAGTGTACTGTGATGGCTCACCTCTGTTTGAACCATGGACATCCTGTCCTTCCTCATCTTATTTATGAACAAATGAACGTCGATCCGGTCGTGCTTTTTACCGAACTCCAAGAGAGCGTCTAAGGCAATAAATGTTCCTGTTCTTCCAATGCCAGCACTGAAATGATGTAAAAGAAAACCCACAGAACTAAATATGTAAACATTGAACAATATATGCGTTTCGGAAATATCAGCTTTAACTATTAGATATATATTCAATGCCACGTTTTGCACGGTGTTGATGTGTTCGAATTTATTTGCCTTAACGTCTGGCAAACAAGAGATTCTCTTAATATGCATGAATGCATAATGAATATATGTTCTACAAAAACAGAAAAAGAAAAATCTAAAACTATACTGAAAATACTTTGAAAGCAATACTTTTGACAACAAGGAGTTTGTTGTGGTGTTTAAGATGGTCACATTTCTACTGTTTTATGTCATTTACTAACAACTAACCTAAACCTGTAATTATGTGTCCAAAATGATAATGTAAATAACCCTCGTGTTAACTCCTCCTCTGTTATCATCCTACCTGCAGTGAATTACCATCTGTCCTGGTAGAGCAGTTTTGTGAAGCTTCACGCGACGTTGAAATAGAACAAGTTCTAATGAGTTCGGTGTCCCGTGGTCCGGCCAGGCTGTGAAATGAAACTGCTGTATTTCTTTCTTATCCTTAGACTGTCAAAAAAGAACATCTTTATATTCCTTGCATTTATTTTTTTCATCTTTGAATGTATACATGGTATCGTGTTTCTGTCTTCTTTCTCTACTTTTCAAGAGTGAAATAATGTATCGCTGATTTAGATAACAAGATATAACAAGCGCAGTCTATATAGTGAATTTAAGTCAGAATTGAATATACTGCATGGGGAAATAATTTTAAAAACAAATATTCTTAGTAGACATGTGAACTGATTTTGGTATCGGTAATTACATTCCAAACGTCAATAGGCTAATTCCTGAAAAGGTAGTCACTTCTATAGACAGGTGATAAATGCAGGGGGAGTGATTTCTCAGCCAAGTTTTATTTCATAATAATTTACTTAGCTACCTTATGATCGGTGACAGTGATGTCTCGGATAACATAGGACGCATAGAATCGTTCTCTGTTCAGCGTTATATTAAATGTTTGTGTTGTCATGGGTTCTTCTTCGTCAGGCCAGTATTTGTCACATTTTACCTGAAACGAGCACGGTTACTTGCTTGATTTCGAAATGCTGTAAAAGGAATCAGAAATAGCCATGCAATAGCATTACATTATAGTAAGGTAACATGAAATTGACCACATACCCTTAGCTAACAAATCGACCCAAATCAATGAAACACCATTAAAATGAAACTATCGTGAAACATATTTTTTTCGCCATTGAAATACGATTTTTAAATAATGGTATTGCCATGGCACAAAAAAGGTCTACACTTGGCTGGGCCATTGAAACATCATTGAAACACCACTTATTTGGTTACTTCTCTTTTGGGTCAGCCTTAACTTACCTTTCTTTTTAAATTAACCATCATGGACAAAAGGTCTTTTGGCAAAAGCAAAATAACATTCAATGTCTGATGATTTCAGATATCACAGATAAAAAAACATCAAAATTGTACCGATTGGGATAGCGTCATGTTCGATACTTAGATTATTGTTGGTTTACTAGCCCTCAAAATGTCATTTTTAATGGGCTGTATGTTGTAAAATGGTTACGTGATGGGCTTTATGTTGTACGGGGGTTCCACGATTAGCTTTGTGTTGTACGATGGATAAGTGATGGACTGTATTTTTAACGAGCATGAGGGGTACGCGATCGGCTTTGTGTTGTAAGAGGGGTACGCGATTGGCTTTGTTTTGTATGAGGGAAACGCGATCGGCTGTGTTGTATGAGGGGTACGCGATTGGCTGTGTGTTGTATGAGGGTTACGCGATTGGTTGTGAGTTGTATGAGGGGTATGCGATTGGCTGTGTGTTGTATAGGGGTACGCGATTGACTGTGTGTTGTATGAGGGTACGCGATTGACTGTGTGTTGTATGAGGGGTACGCGATTGGCTGTGAGTTGTATGAGGGTACGCGATTGGCTGTGTGTTGTATGAGGGTACGCGATTGATTGTGTTCTGTATGAGGGTACGCGATTGACTGTGTGTTGTATGGGGGTACGCGATTGACTGTGTGTTGTATGAGGGTACGCGATTGACTGTGTGTTGTATGAGGGGTACGCGATTGGCTGTGAGTTGTATGAGGGTACGCGATTGGCTGTGTGTTGTATGAGGGTACGCGATTGACTGTGTTCTGTATGAGGGTACGCGATTAACTGTGTGTTGTATGGGGGTACGCGATTGACTGTGTGTTGTATGAGGGGTACTCGATTGGCTGTGTGTTGTATGAGGGTTACGCGATCGGCTGTGTGTTGTATGAAGGGTGTGCGACTGGCTGTGTGTTGTATGAGGGTAACGCGATTGGTTGTGAGTTGTATGAGGGGTATGCGATTGGCTGTGTGTTGTATGAGGGGTACGCGATTGGCTGTGTGTTGTATGAGGGGTACGCGATTGGCTGTGTGTTGTATGAGGGGTACGCGATTGACTGTGAGTTGTATGATTGGTACGCGATTGGCTGTGTGTTGTATGAGGGGTACGCGATCGGCTGTGAGTTGTATGAAGGGTATGCGATGGGCTGTATGTTGTACGAGGGTTCCGCGATTTCTTTTATTAAAAATGTAAATTGCATGTACGGCCAACATATTTTTATCATCCGTTAGCTACGCTTAGGTAATAAAATGAATCGTATTTATAAGTAGTACGCTAGGTAATAGTCGTTAGATGAAATTTTCACTTACAACCGACTCATGGTAAGTGCAAACATTTAATTTAACAATTTTTGGTCATTTTCATATATTCCTGATGTTATTTGTACAAACATTCAGAGCGTCATTAGTACCTAAAAATAACGATAACGGACGCTTATATGTAATGAAGTATTGGCAAACGTCAGCGAGAAACCCACATTGTAAGATTTAAGTAAGCACACGTTGACTCAAACCTTATCAAAATGATATAAAAGATTACATTTTGTCATCTGTTTACCTTTCTATTTTCTACCAAATTTGTAAGCATCACTATCTTTCCCGAGTTCAGTTTCCAGATCATTCTCCAAAAGTCATCGTTCGTAGTTGGTAGAGGTCCTTTTATGAAATGAGAAATACATTGTAATGAAGGAGAAATATCATTTTGAACAGATTTTATATGATACTATCAAGGGGCTGATATAAACACTTTACTACAAGACGGACTTGAATAAACTATCAAGTGGCTGATATAAACATTTCACTACAAGAATCAATGAACAGAAACATTGTGGGGCTGATATAAACATCAGGCATAGACATAAATATGATTACTTTACTACAAGACGGACTGGAATAAACTATCAAGGGGCTGATATAAACTCTTTACTACAAGACGGACTGGACTAAACTATCAAGGGGCTGATATAAACATCAGGCATAGACATAAATGTGATCACTTTACTACAAGACGGACTGGAATAAACTACCAAGGGGCTGATATAAACATCAGGCATAAACATAAATGTGATTAAACTATCAAGGGGCTGATATAAACATCAGGCATACACATAAACGTGATTACTTTACTACAAGACGGACTGCAATAAACTATCAAGGGGCTGATATAAACATCAGGAATACACATAACGTTAAAGTGATTACTTTACTACAAGCAGGACTGGAATAAACTATCAAGGGGCTGATATAAACACTTTACTTCAAGACGGACTGGAATAAACTAACAGGGGGCTGACATAAACAATAGGCATATACATAACTTTAAAGTGATTACTTTACTACAAGACGGACTAGAATAAACTAACAGTTGGCTGACATAAACACTAGGCATATACATAACTTTAAAGTGATTACTTTACTACAAGACGGACTGGAATAACCTATCAAGGGGCTGATATAAACATCAGCCATACACATAAACGAGATTACTTTACTACAAGACGGACTGGAATAAACTATCAAGTGGCTGATATAAACATCAGGCATAGACATAAATATGATCACTTTACTACAAGACGGATTGGAATAAACTATCAAGGGGCTGATATAACCATCAGGCATAAACATAAATGTGATCACTTTACTACAAGACGGACTGAAATAAACTATCAAGGGGCTGATATAAACACTTTACTTCAAGACGGACTGGAATAAACGAACAGGGGGCGGACATAAACAATAGGCATATACATAACTTTAAAGTGATTACTTTACTACAAGACGGAGTAGAATAAACTAACAGTTGGCTGACATAAACACTAGGCATATACATAACTTTAAAGTGATTACTTTACTACAAGCCGGACTGGAATAAACTATCAAGGGGCTGATATAAACATCAGGCATAAGCATAAATGTGATTACTTTACTACAAGACGGACTGGAATAAACTATCAAGGGGCTGATATAAACACCAGGCATAGACATAAACGTGATTACTTTACTACAAGACGGACTGAAATAAACTATCAAGGGGCTGATAGAAACACTTTACTACAAGACGGACTGGAATAAACTATCAAGGGGCTGATATAAACATCAGGCATAAACATACCGTTAAAGTGATTACTTTACTACAAGAAGGACTAGACTAAGTTAAGCTCATGAATAGGAATATTAGCTGGAGAAAATAAAAGAGAATTGTTTTTGAAAGTATTTTACCTTGGGCTGCAACATACACCTTTCTATCTTCAACATTCTGGAACAGAACATTATCTAGCTGAATTAAATTTCGCGTTCGTCATCTTACCAGTTAATGTGGTTGGCCGTACATTGCTATTCTTGGGCTGTTATCAGGGCGTGGAGAGTATGGGGGCTTTGATATTAACATTATCATATGGTTGCATTTGTTATCAGACATTTCGAAAAAGACCGAACTTGGCCTTGGTTTATAAAAGTGACATTGACATGGTAGTGTATAATAAATAGTGAGTTATATGACAATTTTTATATCCTACATCATATCAGCCTGAGATTCCAATATCAGCCCGTGAGCTATTTTCAATATGCTATTATAACATACATAAGTGATATATGATTTCTTCATTTCACTCTTGGTATGTACGTATACATGACGTCTTATTACAACTTCACACAAATGTATTTTCAAACCTGTATCACACATTCTAAAATACAATAATACGAGCATTACAGATATGTGTTTCTAAAGCAATACAATTTTAATTACAATATCTTTGATATATAAGACATTTTTGCTGAAAACACAGAGTATCTACTGACTGAAAATGTAAACATTGGTACGATGTTTGTTTGTTTTGGTAGTACTCACATCAATGTAATTAGCGTTGATGTAGTCCGAACCAATTGCGCCAGGGAGGGGGTCAAGGACTACCCTTGAATGATCATCTAGTTATGAAAACCAACATCATTTCAAGACTATTGCATATATGTGCATTCATAACTCTAGGTTTTCCTTAAAGAAACCTCAACACAAAGTTACTTGACTAGTCAACTAAAGATGAAGCTTTGTAAGGTCAAAATGAAAAGCCTATGAATAAGAAATGTTATTTCTATTTCAAATCATTTATAAAAGGAAACATGTCATTAACTATCTAAAATAAAGTCGGATGTTCAAGATTTTGATATAAGAAATTGTATATAAATGCATTAATTCCATCTATTTGGGTCTTACATGGATATATAGTTTTGTATCTGTTCTTTGACTTATTCTTTTCTCCAATCGTGTGAGGGTGACATGCTCCATTTTGCAAGGTCTGTAAAAGATACAAATAAACAATTAATTGTATTTTGAAGATTTTTTTTTATATTTGTATTAAAAATAACAATATATATACAATATAATTAAATATAAATACTTTTCTGGTCATGCATTTGGTGTAAATATGATTTTTTCTCTCTCAAATATTTCTAAATTTAACAATGCTTTGTATTTCGGCATTGCGAAGCAATGTTCAGACGTCCGACTGAGTTGTTCTGCAACCATTAAAATCCAAAAAATAATTGTCATCATTGGAACTTAATCTATACAAATATATACTGCGGAAATCAGAGGGTGATACCTAAAGGATCAAGTAATACGCCATATGCTATTTTACATCATGCAAAACAATACTCACAAATGTAAGAAATACAGAAGATAAACTGTACGTAAGGACGCAAACTCAGCATGCAGACCAGAAAAACGTACGGACTTTCTATAATGTAATTTTCTTTTCTGTAGAAACGAATATATCGCATCAGACATATGATGTACTCTCTGAATGTTATCTTACGAATTTACTCAATCATTCATCAATGTCTCTTTTATCCTACCTATATCTAAATAAACCATTTCTCTCTAATTGGTTTTAAAATTTCTTATTTTGTTGGATGTTTAATGTTTATGTTTTAGAACTAAGTAAACTACAGTATTGCAATAATCTTACAAGAAATATACTTATTCAATTAATTTGAAATTACATGATATGTTTATTTTGTCTTAAAGATAGCATACGGTCCTTTTATGTACTTTCAAACAATGCTTATGTAAAACAAAATCTATGACTGCTTTAAAGACAAGTGGCTAAAACAGTGATGTAGAAGGGTAAATAAATAATTAATACAGAATATTACTTTAAATTCTGAAATCAACTCCTTTTCTTCGTCTTCCATGTTATTGGCAGTCATTTTTTTCAGCATAGCGACTGAAAAACCATTCTGTCTCTCGTTGTTTATTTTGTCTGTCCCTGGTGTACTTTCATTTTGAAGGTTGATAAGGGTATGTCCGTTCATTTCGCCTAAAATAGAATCCAGAACAATATGTTGTGAATTTGCAACGTATAAATGGTCAGTTTGCCACCACTTTCATTTTACAAAGTTATTTAGAGTTACTTTCCTGTTTAATTCTTGTTGTTTTATCAATATTTATACAAATGCATTAGATAGTAAGCCTTTTAAGAAGTCAAAACATTTTGAAATTATTCCACATATTTATGTTGCAGAAAAGTACTAGCAGTACAAATAACTTTACGGGTAGTGCAGCGGATAAGTTCCCTGCTTTATGATCAAGAGATCCGGAGCTAATCATCTCGTGGTTGAAATTATTTATGGGACAGATGGGCATCATAATGATATATATCTTTTGTAAGTCGTTTTCCTATCTTGCATTTGTAGCATGTATGTGAAACCCATATGATGAATAACATCAAGTAATAAATGATTTCTTGTTAATCTAAAATTCTGCTTATATTGATAGGATCAGTGTTCCCACACAATTGAAATAATACAAGTAAAACATTTATTTATCGATACATTTTTTTATCGTTTCCATGAAGTGCATGTTTGCCTCACGTGACAAATTATAAAACTTCACACTTGTATCAATCCAAGCGTATAACGCAAACATGATAAGGCGTTGCGATTCTTGCCGTTACAGTAAACAAGAACACAGCTTAAACGTTCTTTTCTTATCTGAATTGTCAATGTATGTACCGTACTTAATCACAAGTCATACAGATACACAAAAAAACATTATATAGCAAAATGGTCTCGATGAAAAATCTTATCAAGAATTCTGGGGGCAAACATGTTGAACTTTCGAAGATGTTTGATAAAACTTTAAAAGAATAATTAAACTACTAGGAAAAAATACGATTGGGAACGCTACGATATTACTTATATAGAGGATCTGTCATAAGTGTCCATATTAAATTTATATAATTCGTTCAATCATTAAATATGATACCAGCCTTTCTTTAGTCGAGTGTCATATCAAATTATTGAACGAGTTTAATAAATACAACATGACCTTGAAACAAATGTAAGATTCTATTTATCAAATAACATTCATAATTTGGAAAAAGAAACTTCAAATACAATGATATGTTCAAAGTATTCCAATCATCGTATTGTCGTTTCGTGCAGTGCAAAGAAGTTCCCGATTAAAAAAAAAAATGAACAGTTTTTAATGCAATAAAAATAATAACAAACTTAACATTTCAAATTCATTAAAAATAACAGTAAATTTATTATGTGGTATAGTGAATAAAAATAATACCTTTAGTGGCGTCAAAATATGTTCCCAGGATTTTGACCAATCGCAGCACGTTAAGGTTGTATTACACAGGTGTATTACCATATTTATTAGATGGCGGTATGATATGGTAAAATGGGTCAGTAAAACAATTTATTTATTTGGGCTTCAACACAAATGAAATATTTTTTGGGGATGCTTTTTTAAGAAAGGAAGCAACGTGATTCTTGGTTTCTCTTCTGGATAGCATTGATACTATTTAAAACAAAAGTTGCAAACTTAAGAAATAGTCGACAGCCCTTTTGTTTTTGTAGACAGGGTCGCTATTGAGGTGTCGAAACCCTTTGGTAATTTAGCGATTAGAGAATGATAATCTGCAATGTATTCAATGGCCAATACAGACATCAAGTGTTATTTAAATTATTGAAGCCAGAAAAGTATATCTCGAAAGGATAAACGGTGATTATACTTCATTTGAAAGCGACTTCATGACGTTGGCAGATTGATTACCGTTTTCCCGTTCTTATACCTTAAAAGAATTACTATTAAAATACACACACAAAAATGATACTGTGATTTTGTATAAGGTTTTGCTACGCTTTCAGTTCCATGTTAACTGAATGTTCATGTAAGCTGTAGCTGGATCATACACTAGTATACAGAACACTTCCACTTCAAAATGGCCAAAAACATTTATACATGCACATGCATTCATTTGTAAGGCAAATACGGAGAGGGTTTAAATATAACATCTCAGTTTATTAAAACGAACGCATAAAAAGCATGAACATTTGAGATGTGTTACGTTAAAATGTGGGTTCAAGTTGAAAAGTACGCTTTTTTTCATACAAATTCTTCGGTTATTTCATATTTTGTACAAATGATATCACTGGTGATACCTGTTTCTTGAAATTTCTTTGAAATTATAAAACAGCAAATGGGTTTTGTACTTTTGCAATAGTTGTATACAGCGAATAATAACAGAAACCCATCCTTACATTATTGAAAAATTTCATACCTGAACGGTTGTTTTCCCGATTTGAAGAATGTTGTATTTCATATTTTATGAATGGCACCGATGTATCCTCTCTAGATGAGGCCAATCTTCTGATGATGAAATATTAAAAGTAGTCACAATTAACGCAATTTTCATAGGATTTCAAAGCACTGTCAAGGCTTCTTTAGCGCTTTGGTATTTTCTTGAACATGTTTTACCTGGGATCCGTGGAATTTAAACAACAAAAATTGAAGAAGCACGTGTTGTAGAAGCATTACAAGAAAAATTCATGAAAATAATATTTTATATTCTGTACTATATATATATATATGTATCTGAATACAAAATGTTTTATGCGTTATACGTGTTTCATAATAAAATATATTATCGTGGTGTATTAGGTAAAATCCTATTGTCTCTGGCCTATGGTATCGAAACATATCTGTATTTTTCGGGTCTTGTTGTATATGTAATATGACTTTAAAATCGTAACATAAGGAACTAGTGACGCAGTAATTGTCTTGAAATAATTGGTGTAAACCATACATTCTGTAAACAAGAACAATTGACTGACGTCTGCTTTACCTTCTGACAATATACACTATAAAAACGACGAGGACAATACCACCAATACCACCACCAACTGCTCCAGCGTATACAGCCACATTACTGCCTTCACCTTCGAATTGCTTAACCTCTTTCCCTGACAAATAAAAGAATGGTTCAGTAAG